GAGCGTAATAGAGTCTTGCATGTGAAATATATGTAGCTCCATTTTCCGTAATAGAGTCAAAATGCTTTTAATCCTTGTTTGTCACATTTTCCGTTTATTTTATAAATTCTGGTACCATTCTGTATATCTGTAGCTCCAACAAAGGAGTATACATGCCCCACATAACGTAGCAACGAGAAGAATTTCCTCTCTTGTATATTCAATAAAATACGGATAATGTTCTGGCTGTATATCCACGTTATGAGTGAATGCTATATGTATTTTCTAAGATGACCTACTTCGTGTAAGATATCAATTTCATTTAAATAGATTGGCTGTTTTATTTTCTTTCTTTCTTTCTTTTTTTTTAATTTCTTTCTTTTTGGCGAGTCATTGGCTGGGCATTTTGAGCTCGGGGCCTAATTCTCAAAGAGGCTTATCCCAAAGCCCAGTTTGGATAGATAATGCTCGAAAAGGTATGACCATTATTCTGCATGTGGTTGAAAAGGTATGTGCATGTTTCTGATTTTTCCCCCCTTTTATGAACCCTATATGTAATATGTATCATATATTTTTATCGGGTTCTGTAAAACTAAATTTATCTTCTTTTTTGAGCAATAGTGTATAACTTGTTAAGGCTCATACAACATTTACCTTTGTACTTTGCAAGTTTGTTTTGTTCATGACACAAAAAAGGCATGCAATTCTTTGTAGTGATATTTGCAAGTCAAATTTCTCTACTCTTCATGCTATTCATCTCTATTCCACAACTAGCTTTAATTATCTCTTACGCTAAAGTATAACTGTCTGCGACCATGGGCGGTAAAACCTTTTAAATTTGCAATGTGCTCCCCTTTATTTAAAAGTATTTGCACCATAACTCATACGAACATGTAGCTCATTTGAATTATTAGCTCATTTAAGGTAAAAATTTTAGCCCATTTATTAAGAATGTGGTTTTATTATATTGTTTTTTAAATTTTGGTAAATAGGTACTTGTCGTCTGCCCCCCAAGATATTTTTTTCGAAACCACCGCCGTCCACAGCTACCAATTGTTAGATTATTGTAAATTGTATTTTTATGCAAGATAGTTGAAACTGTTTCTAGCATATTGCCTTAAAGATTATGTAATTAGTATTTAATACTAAATTAATACCTCCGTGACCGACAATTGTTCAGCTACAGATAGAGCTTGGCTCTGATGATCAGTTACAACTGATCTATGTTGTGTGGGTACTTCTATCATGAAGTCGTACCTGTATATGACACATCCCGTACCCATAACCATATCCGACACTTTTTGGTTACTCCTTAATTATATGCATACATTTTCAAATGTGTACTCAATTATACAATACATGTTTAGTTTAAAATGCTTGTCATACACCTGTTGGATATATACTATGTTACATGGGTATTTCTATTATGGAGCCATACTCGTACTCGACACATGTCGTGCCCATGCCTGTATCCCTACCTGACTCTTCTTGGACACTCCTTAAATATATGCATATATTTATTCAGACCAAAACTCAATTATACAATGCATGTTTAATTTAAAACACTGAGTCACACTTCTTGGATATATATCCTACACTTCACATCCATCTTTATAACTTGCTAGTTAAGTGTCGAGTTTGTTTCAACTTTACGAGCTATATGATTTAAAAGGGTCGTATACATATATAGCTCAAAATTATGATTATGTCCCATGAGTTTTAGCTGTGTCCACATACCCTATCTTTTACAAATATCTCGTGTCTCGTAGCTGCACTTGAATGCATACCCATGACACACCAAACTTCACGTTCAATTTTGAAATTTGTTGGACAAACAACCCATATCTTTTGAAAATGAAGATTTCAAAGTGTCGTTTACGTATTTAGATCAAAATTATGATATCTGCCTATTCATTTCAGCCGTGTCTCCATACCGTACTTTTTTCAAATTTTCTATGCCATGTACTTAGAGGTGCTAAACCGTATGTGTATCCAAGAAAATATCTGAAACTGTATCCGTTAGGATACAAATATGGTTACTCAAATGTATAACCGATAGAATATGGTTACAAATATGGTTTTGTAGTGAAATATCCGAAAATGTATTTAAAATATCTGAATGCATATTAGTCATACTCTTACGATAGTTTTAATTATTAGATTATGGATTTGTGGTTAATTTTGATGATCAAGATGTCTAATCTTAGCTTTTCAGTTATAATGAATTTATTAACGAGCTCTTTTGTATTACATGAACTATGTTTTTCTCAATACTATCTGGTTTTCTCATATTCGTTTTGTATCTGCATGCATATCCGCTTATATATCCGCATGTATATTCATAATCTTATCCGATCTTAGCGGATGTGGATATGAATTTTCTTTACCAAAGTATATCCGTATCCGTATACGTATCCGAGATGGGTAAGCGGATATGGATATGATAAGCATCATATCTGAGCCACATTCGGACCGAATGCATTCTATCTGTACTCATACCAGCACCCGTTTGTGTCCATTCAATTAGTCACCGACATGTCCACCTTGGCCTGATATCATTTGGCTAAGATAATTACTATCATTTAACAAGTGGTATCTCTTTCCTTGGGTTTACAAATATGGGTTATGATGGGAAGCTCAGTGCTCCTGAGTTCTAATTGTTGTTTTCACAGAGATATTATGCGTTTTTAATTTCTTCAATAACTTTATTTTCAATTAGTTGTAGATATTTTCCTTCCAATATCGATTGTATTCTTTTTTTTCTCTTTCTTTAAATGCAATTATTCATATAGACACTTCACACTTTTCTTGAAAAGGAGGATTTATGGTCTTTGTAAACATGAATTTTGTCCATATGATTCCAAATGATCTCAGCGTATGTGCGTCTAGTGCAGTACATCACTTTTTCATATGTTGTCTTATGTGCATGTATCTTCTGTGGGTTATGTTATCATTAGGTCTAATCCAATATTACCTGATTTTTAAGACATTTTTGGAGTTACATGCTATGTAGGAACATAATGATACTCCATAGAGCATATTCTTTTTTTTAGGTCTATTTGTTACTAGAATGCGGTAATCATTATCATGTCACTAACTTTATTATTAAGTCATTTATGTCCATTTTTCTTACTTTTAAATATTATCTAGGTCTTCTCCAAACATCAAAATTTGGACTTCTTCACCATATAGGACTTTAAATGTTTCAAATATTCTGGAAGGTGTCTATTTCTTCACTGGAGTTTTAATTCAAGTCTAGGTTTCTATTTCTGAAATTTATATAATTTTTCTACAACTCAAGTTCATTTCTTTCATATGTCGACAAAATTTTCTTTTCTCAATCATATGATCATAAAGTTGAGAAAGTAAATAATCAGGTCTCTGTATTCTAGTGAAAGAACTGAGCCTCACTATCTATTTTTCATTTTATTGTCTTTTTCTGTGTTCCTCATTTCATATTATTAGGTTATTAAATTTGTTTGATATACATTTTATTGAATCAACCTACTAGCTTATGCTTTTGGATGAGCTAGTTATCTGGAATAGCACATAAGTCCAAGATCCTAAAGGTCCAAGGATCAAATCCCACAATTACAGATTTAAAATATATTTGTTTACCTTGTTTATTGCTTCTTTTTCAAGAAAATCATGTGTGTTGCTGGTTTTTTCTAGTGGCTATAAGTCTCAGATTTGGAATTTTCCATACGTTATTGGTCCACAATCCTCTTGCAGCTTTGGGGTAACTAGTTGAGATGACAGTGCTGTATGGGATTGTATATAAGTGGATTTTTCTGACATTTACTACATGTGTTCTTTTAAATTTTTATGCCCTATCTTTAAAAAAAAAGAGACCATGCAGAGTTTCTTCTGTCGCAAAGCTGTTCATGAATGCTCTTGCACTTCATTTTAAAAAATTATACAAAAAGATGATTAACATGAAGGTTTCGAAGTATGCAAGGAAGGTGATATTTCATTGCAATTTCTTGAAAATTATGTGCAAATGCACCTACATTAGGGCCTCGCACAATGTCGTGAACTGTTGATCATTATACATGTAAAGCTACAGTCAAACACATATAGTTAGAACTATGGAGCTTTGAACTATATACCCAAATTACTTCCATTTTTTTTGATAAAATGCTTCTAATTAATTTTTAAAACCACCCACTTCTAAAATTACTCTTAAACCAAAAATAGCCCACTCAATTATATTTAAATCCATTCCATGTATTTTACCATTTTGGTACAAAGTAATAAAAAAATTAAAAAATCCCCAAAATACTCTTCTCAAAATATAGAACTTATAGTTACAGAAAAATATAGTTTGCTATATTTTGTTGTAAGTTGCTATAATTTGTTGTAAGTGGCTCTAATTTGTTGTAGTTTGTTGTATTTTGTTATAAATTACAGTATGTTGTTGTAAGTTGCTATATGTTGCTTTAAGTTGCCATATTTTCAGAAGAGTATCTTGAGGATTTTATTATTATTATTTTCTCGATACTGTATAATACCATAAAACTGAAATATGCATAGTGGGTTTAAAGTAATTCACTTGGCTTGATTTTGGAAGCGGGGTGCAATTAAAGGTTAATGGGGGTAAAACTGTGGGTTTATAGGTAAGAGCCCCTAAAACTATGATTTATAGAAGAGAATAACTTTCCATTTAAAATTTATTACTCACAATGCTACTAAGGCACCCCTGATTGCTCTTAGAATGTCTCATAGATCCATAAGTATGGTGTAGCTTTCCTTTTCTAGTGCTTTTTCAGAGAACTTTGAAGCTTGGAAAGGCAGGGTGAAGTTTTAGAAATTTAGAGATAGAATGTCATAGAGAGAGGTTAAGAGAGAGAGAAATAGGAGAAGAGAGTTGATTGTTGGAGAGACAAGGTAAAGTTTTAGAATCTTAGAGCGAATGTCATAGAGGCGGAATGAGAACGAAAATAGTGTTAGAGAGAAAGGGTGTTAGTAAGGAAAATTGTTAAGAGGTACAATGGGAGGGAGGGGGGGGGGAGGGAGGCTTAATTCACAGTTTTATGATATGTTGTACATTTAAAACTGGATGCACTGGTTTAATTCACAGTTATATGAAATGTAGTATCCATTTAAAACTAGATGCCTTGTGAGATATTCAGGAACAATATCAAGGAATTAAATTCTTTAAAATAGAAAATATTAGAAATTGAAACCCTCACTTCCGGTACACTCCAAAAATTCTAGTGTTTACTTTTCCTAGAATGTTGGTTTCAACAATAGTTGACTAAGTTTAGCTAACTTTCACACAAGAAATTAGAATTGTCGTGCTTAAAAGACAAACAATATCAAATAAGGACATCTTCTAACGTTACAATGTTAGTGTAGCTCAAAGTTAGCCTCTGGTTGACGTGTATCTTTGTTAATAGAAAATCGAGTGTGCACCATATTGGGCTGTTAGACTATGCGTGCAAAAAGATATTTTGTTTGTTGGTTATCATAATCTTATTTGCAGCTCTAATTTTCTATTCAATTTCTTATTGCAGTGTTGATGATGATTTTCCAATTGTCACTCCATTTTGAGAAGTCTCTCTCATTAAAAGTACAACACCATGACTATTTCTTTGAGAATGAGGTATGTATGATTTATAAATGTCTGTCCATGAATATTTTGAAGTGCCTTTTGCATAAACAAATAGTTTTTTCGTGAATTCTCTGACATGAACTAGTCATATATTTGTTTTCATTGCTGTTTGTTATTGGGGAAATGTGCTTGCATATTCTTAATGTGCATCCACGTTCTGTATTGGTTTAATTTTGTGCTTGATATGCATGCTATTTGTTGATTTCAAAGATACCAAGGATTATGCTTTTAATGGTTACTAATATAGTGCATGTGCTTTGCATGTGGACATACTTGTTTTGTATTTCGAGTTTCTTCGTGAATTGGAAAATGATGATCAAAGTGATTTTTTAACAATATAAATTCTTAAATTGATAGTTAAAAATTTGCGTTAATAAATGAAATTGCAAAAAAAATTGTGTACAAAGAATTGTATGAATAATTATTATAAACTAGATAATTATTGTAATTTAATTTTTAATTATTTTAATAATTAATGTATTAAATAAGCATTAATATTATAACATACTTTAATAATTATAATCTAGGATAATTATAATAAATTATTATCCTATTTTATAACTATTCTTATTTGTAATAGTTATACATTGTTGAGTATAATTAAAATAAAATAATAATTTGTTAAATAATTTGATAAACTAAATAATTCATTTAATAGTATAATTACTACATAATAGTGTAATTCTTAATTTAAGTAATATTATTAAATTAGTTTTACTATTTATATTATTAAATATTTATACTATTTTATTATATTATTTACTAAATTATACTGTAATTCTTAATAGTATTTAATAGTATATTATCTCATTTATACTATTATTTTAAATATTTTATGGTTTATGAATAATTACTAAACAATTAGATAATACAACTAGTTCATATCTTATGTATAAATATTTTATAAATTATTTTGTTTTACTGTTATTAAAGAATTAGAAATATTGATCTAGTTGAATGTTCATGCTATCATAGAATTTAGCAACATACTATAGAAATGTCGATCAATCAACAAATAGTTTTGCATTTGTAGAAATGTTGATCAACTTGAATCATTGAATGTCCTTTCATCAACGTTGATTTGCATTTAATCACTTGATAATGGGTGTAATTGGAAATTATCGAAATTAATAAGGCAAAGAGGCAATCAAAAGTTTTGACATGACAATATTCTTCTTTATGTAGTGTATAGATTTATGATATATCTGTAATTTTCTATCGTACACATTAGGAAAAATCCTTTGAGGCCCGCTTTTTGTGAAATAGAATGTGACAAACCTCCAAGACTAAGTCAACAGTGTCAACCCTTATAGTGAAAGAAAAATGTAGTTCAACCCTTATTTCACAAGACTAAGTCAACCGTGACAATATTCACTCTCTTTCAATGTCCCCATCTTGCAAAAGAATAGACCCTCTGTCTCCATCTCGTGCTAAAAAAGAACAAGACACTCGACGCCATTAGCGGCATACCCGCCATCCTCCTTTAACGATGGCGGTGGTGTCTACTATCTCCGTCGTAGTTTCCATACCCGATGAGCCAGAGATCCTTAGCTCTTCTCTTGTTCCCTCCAACAGTGATAAGAAACCCTATCCTTTTGAAGATCACCAATCAAGGAAGATAAATAGTAAGACGAGTAAGCAGAAGACATTGATGTCGATTCCGATTTTGTTTGAGGAAAATGGTCAGGGGTGGCGATCGAGGATGAGATCTAGGGCTCAGCTGCTAAGGGAGGGAAGAGTAAAGGAAGGGGTTTGGTTAAAAGAAAGGGAAAAATAAGCAAGAGGATGAAAATTTTTGGAGGATGTTGAGAAAATTAGGGTTCAAGATTGCGAATTGAGTAAGGATGATAAAGATGAGGAGGTTAAGGGTGAATCTGATTGTGAATCTGATTTGAAGGAGTTGGAGGCTGAAGAAAGAGAAGTGGGAGATAAAGAATGTAGGAAGAATTGGCTCTGAGCTGATTGAGTTAGAGAAAGAAAATGTTGTTAATGTTGTAACTGAACTTGAGAAAGGGTGATAAAAATGTATTTTTCTTGATCATTTAAAGTTAAAGAATCAGCTATTAGAATATTGTTAATGTTGTGAATTGGTTGTGAGTTTTAAAGATTAGCTCTTAAACTTGAGAGTTAGTTGTTAGATTTTAGTATTGGTTGTTAATGTTTTTTGTAAGTTGTTGAACTTAATGATTGACTTTTAAATGTAAGAGTTAGCTTTTAGATTTAAGTATTGGTTGTTAATGTTGTTTGTCGGTTCTTAAACTTAATGATTAGTTGTTAAACTTATGAGTTATATGTTAGATTTAAGTATTTTTTTGTTAAACTTAAGAATTAGTTGTTAAAGTTAAATATTTACATCATATATTGCAGGAAAAAATATTACATGATACCATTAAAGAAAATAAAATATTGCGAAACATTCATCCTAAACATAAACAACAAAGTGTTTACAAACAACTAACTATTAGTAGAAAATCAATAAATTTAATACACAACATGTAAACATAACAACTATTAATCTAAACAACTAAAGTTGAACTTAACAACTAACTGTTAACCTTAATAATTAAATGTTAAACTTAATAACTAACTATCAAGCTTAACAACTAACTTAATAACTAACTACCAAGCTTAACAACCAACTAAAAGTTTCATTATTTGTAAATAACCCCTTGAAGGTTATAAAAATTATAAATAACCCTTGAAAAATTACAAACACCTTCCGAGAAAGTTTCAGAAATTGCAAATTAGCCCACAAAAATTTGTACAAAACCTCTTTAAAGTTTCAAAAATAGTGTTGTTAATCTTATGCGTTAGTTGTTATTACATCATATATACCGAGGCAAATTACATTAAAACTTTAAACTAAACAAATAACTATTTTTAACCTAAGTTTTGAAAAACAGCTAAGTATCTTAAGAATTAATCACAACCATAACAGAATATTCTAATGTATTTTGCTTGGACATTTAAAGTTAAATAATTAGATGTTAAACCATATGATTGTTAAAGTCGTGAATTAGCTGTCAAATTTAAAGATTAGTTGTTAAAGTTAAGAGTTGATAGATTTTAAGTATTGCTTGTTAATGTTGTCTGTCCGTTGTTAAACTTAAGGATTTATTATGAAATTTAAGAGTTAGTTGTTAGAGTTAATTATTGGTTAATATTTTTCGCCAGTTATTAAACTTCAAAGATTGGTTGTTCAACTTATGAGTTATATGTTTGATTTAAGTATTAGTTTTTAAGCTAAAGATTTAGTTGCTAAGCTTAATAGTTAGATGTTAAGCTAAAAGTTAGTTATTGAAGATATAATTTTGATGTTAAAGATAGTAATATAATTTTGAAGATATAATTCTTTATTATTAATCACTAATAGTTACAACTTTTTTTGGAAATGATCGTATCATAATAGATAAGTACTAGGTTGACACCTACTCATTTATATCGCTATTATTTGAAACTCTTTCCAAAATAATTTGTCACAGATTTATAGTTAAAGAACAAAAATTACAAATTACGAATAATTTTTTACTCTTTATTCTGTAGTTAACTCATTAAGTCTATCTTCAATACTAGCTATACGATGGATGCATTGATTTCTCTTTTCGTACATCCACCAATCTTGTAGGTATATTACCGCTTCAAGGTAGATGGATCTAGCAATGTTCTGTGTTCGTCGATCAAACATCCTGATGTACTGAATGTGGATTTCAAAGCTATGATAGAAACCCGCACTGTTAATAAGTCACGAGCCATGATGGAAAATACATGATATGAAAATATTCTGTATACTCCACCATTATAAAATATCAAAATCAACATCATTTTGATGTTTAACTAAAGATGTAGCTAAAAATTATTCAATTTCAGAAATTTTCCTTCTTGATGATCCCGATCTACGGCTACTACCAATACCTGTTAGCATCTCTATCATCTATTGCTTGTTAAAAGGCTTACTATTACCCCATCTAGAGCTTGTAGAACTTGTAGGTTGAGGTGTACTTGCACCATATCTATCTCAAACTCATCAAATAATTTTTAAAAATAATATTTAATAGTTTTTCATGTTGATCCTTGGTGACTTCTATCTTCTTAAAGAAAGCTGTTTATGTCAAAAAATTAATATGTGATTTGGGGGAAGCTAGACTCGGCTTTTGGGTCCCTTGATCGGCTTTGATGGTTAATCTTCTGTTGAGGATCTTGAAATTGAACTTCATTGCACAAGTAACAGAGGTTAGAGGCACCAGAGGTTGATCCTTCCTGCGTGTTCTCCGATGCTCAAGTCAGTAACTGTTTCTAGTTAATCTGAAGAGAAAGACAGAGTCTAGTCTTGTTCACATTTTGTGTATGAAATTGTGTATCTTAGGTTGATCGAAATCACTATTATTTATAGAGGGTTCACAGGGGCACGTTGGTAATTTTGGCCGAGTGTGCAATTCTGGTTTAGAACATACTTTACACGTGCTAGGAGTTAACTGGCAAGTGCCTTTCGTCTCGAATTTGGGTCGCGAGGTAGGTCAGCTAGCTTATCATCTGGTTGTCCTTGCAGACACTTAGGAAGTCGATCAGTTAATTATTACGTGGCAACTCTCATTGTGTTTGGTAATTTTCAGGTATAACAAAAGCCCACACTTTGGATTTTGGACTTTTAGGAGTTCTAGGTGTTGGATCATTGCCGAATTCGGAAACATCGGTAGTAGTAGATGTAGGACTCATTTCGGGAGTTGGATTTTCCCCTTCATAATCGAAGGATGAAGTCAGTGGAATTAGAGAATTAGAGAGTAGTAGAAAATATAAGATGAGTTTAAGAGAGTATAATACTGTATTAGAGAGAATAAGAGAGTATTAGAGAGAAGTAGATGAGTTTTGGATGAGTAAAATAAATCAAAATTCTCTCTATTTATAGAGGTAGACTCTTGACCTAAGTACCAAAATACCCTTAAAATTTGGTATTTTTCTTAACCGTTTTTGAGGCTACTTACACTGTCCGAACC